ATGATGTTGTGTAATTTTAAACCAAAACTAAGGCCTCAGGATGACTTTAAGACGTGAACATGGTCATTTTTGTTTTGTAACATTAAATAAAAAAATAAAAACATATTTTTATAAAAATTTTTAATAAATTCCCGATTCCCCAATTTTTTCCTTCCGATCTTTTGAAAATCACGTGATCGGCTCCGATCCCCGATCACATGATCGGATCGGGACATCTCTAATAAAAAAGCTATTAGGCTAATTGTTTGCTAGTTAAACTACTTAAATCATAGATGAATTCATATTAAAAGATTCATTGACATTTACTCAGCTCTGCATAACTGTGATCTTCAGTCACATTTAAAAGTGCTATTTTCATCAATCTGTTCTGAAAATAATGCTCTATGAAGTGACTATCAAATTCTCATTTTTTGGAAGTTGGCATAGTCTAATCTAAGTCGGGTTAGAAAAATGATAGACGCACCCAGGAGAAAGGATTACAGCGATCAATAGTGCTTTCAATGTACGTATTGCATCATGCCAGACTTGACACATGTTTAACCTATCCTTACTTTTCACCGAGTACCTAAGCCTCCCTCTCTCTCTGCATCACCCTCATTAGCCTACTTGCTTCCAGCTGTGGAATGTGAAGATTGAACATTCATATTAACTAGCAACACCTCATATTTGACTGGAAAAAGTCAAGTGTAAGATGAATGTCAAGCTCTGGGGGGCTTAGGGCATCTCTTCACTACGTAGGTGGAATTATGTTATTGAAGTGCACTCTCTCCATCTCTCCCTGCCTCGCTCTCTTTCTCTTTAATCCTCTGCAGAGTAGGTGTGCCAGAGAGAGTCAGCGAGAGAAGACTGATATTTGCTTAACCAAATCCTCGGAGGACGCAACCCTCTTTAATCCACTTCCAAATTCACAGCGTCCACTTTCATTTGGTCATCCGTCACTTGCCCTGCTCTCTAGCGCTCTCTGCATTTGTGTGTGTGTCTGCGGGTGTGTTTGATGGACAATGGTGTGCATTTTGCTTTCTCCTTCCGTCTGCTGTGTCCTTGCTTTCCGTTTCTTCTTCCACTTGTCACTTTTGTTGTGTGCTGTTGAGGTCAGACTGGCACAGGCAGGCGTTGTTGTGAGCAAGAGAGAAAAGTACTGTTTTAGCTGCGACTATTGGCTGGAAATCCAGGGTTAGTCCGGGCTTGCCCCTTTGTTTGACACACAGCACCAGAGGGACAGAGGCACACTCGCACACTAAACACCTGCGAGCCCCGCTGTGTGGAATTACTTTCATCCTGACCTTTACGCAGGCTGTTTAAGTCTCTGAACTCAATTTCTACACCCATAAATGCTGTTTATTTAAGTATTTGCTCTTTGTCATTACACGGAAATTATTGTCTGTAGCAATATTAAAATACACACTTATCCCGCCATCAGAACAATTTGAAACAGGCTTAAAATGCATCTTTCATCATCTTCATCTAAGTATACACATATTAATAATAATATTTAATATTAATGTGGTTCTTTTTTTATGTTCACATATATGATTGCAAGAAGTAAAAAAAGGAAATGGAACAAATACAATAAAATAATTGAAGTTAACAAAAGATAAGCAGCTCAGTAAACATAAGACAGAAATAAGAGAAAATACTTAAATGCAAAAAAAGGAAATATATATATTTAAACAATTAAAAATAAGGATGAACGGACGCCGGATAAAGGTGAATTTTTTTATTTTCTAATATTTCTTGGAAGGTGTTCAACAACTTGGGGACTTTAGTAATATTTAAAAGGCCTGCTGTTGAGGACCTTAGGACTCACACGGGGACATAAAACAGTAGAGAATTGATGATTTAAGAAGGGGCCAGACCATTAAAAGCTTATAGGTGGTGTCTCCTTTTGCACCCCGGCTTTATACTCTGGCTTAATCTTTCCTATCAAGAGTCTTTCACATTGACAATGAGTGATAGGAGAGATCCTACTGTAAAAAAACCTTTTATATCATATTTTCTGTCTGTAGGTTTCACCCCCCCACCACTACACTCTCTGATCTGTTCTCTTTTCGCTGCAGCAGTCACTTCTCATCCTCACTCTGGATTGGAGTTAATCATTGAGCATAGCAGCACTTTTCAAAAGTGCATATTAAAGCAGCCTGATCTCAAATGACTCATCTCTCTCCTCTTCTTCCTCCTCACAGTGAGCACCTATCCTGCGCCTTCACCTTCTTTTTGCACGGGGAGAGCAACGTGTGCACCAGTGTGGAGATCAACCAGCACCAGCCCGTCTACCACCTGACGGAGGAGCACCTCACCCTGGCTCAGCAGGCATCCAGCCCCTTCCAAGGTGGGTCTCCAGTCCAATACTCTGCTGTTAGTGTGTGAGCAGCAAGAGGAAGGTTAGAGCTAAAACAATAACATCAAACGTGTGACATGGCGACGGCAAACACAGCTTTATTTGGGCCAGTTAGCAACGAATACAGAATGTCTCCTCCTGATAAGAGGTCATTATGTGGCAGCCTTGCCTTTGTCTCTTTCCTAAAAACCTCATAGGAAACTGGATAAACAAACAAACTGTTGTGCTCTAATGTATCTGTACACAGTTATGGTGAGACAAATCATTACCCTCAAGTGACAGGAATAAACAGAGGAGGATTTCTTTTAAAGAGGGAATAAACACTGCGGCTAGTGGTGCGTTTGTTTATCCAATCTGATGCTCTACACTAAATTAGAAGGTTGTTGTTGTTGTTCTATTATACATTTAGATAACGGACGGGTTAATAAAACGTTCAAATCAATACGTATATAACAATGATTGGAAGGCCTCTTGCCTATCAGTGAGGAAAATAATGTGATGGATGATGATAATGAGACATGATGGCCTGTTGACTTCAACAATAAGCCTATAAAGGTACATTAGAAAGTGTAGGCTATAGCTAATGTTAGGATTTAGACTAAATGTTTAGTTTTACTATATGGTATGGCGAAAAACTATATTTCATATGTCCACTGAGCTTCTACTTTGTGGGGGAGTGCCTTCTGGCGCTCAGAGACTATCTTACGAGTGCACCATAAAGCTTGCTCTTTTTAATGCTTTCTAAGACTGCCTTGGTTCCTCATTCCAAAACAAATGGCTGCGATCAGCTGACAGAATCCAGAAGAAGCCGCCTGACGTTGGCATGATTTTTCTGCTTTGCAATTTCATTTAAAACGTAAGGTCAGCTGAGGATGATCTTTCACATACTGCAGCTTAGCAGAAATACATTTGGTGATGAATGACCTCAAGTTTATTTATTTATTTTGAACAATAATAACTAGCATTCTAATCAATTCATCGAACAGTGTAGAATGGCTCAACTGAAATGATAAATTGGGAAGAATTTTCACAGCTGTCTGAGTTTATAATGTTAAACTTTTAATAGAATAATGACTAAAGAATAATGCAGTATGTCTCAGGGGTTTTTCTTCAAGTCATGAAGTTGTCATTTTAATATTGTAAAATGAAGAGTTGAGGTGGACACATCCCTGCTTTAAAGAGTATACACAAAATGTGCCAAAGTAAGAAGTCAGGGTCTTCTGAGGACCCCCACCATGCAAGAAAAGACAATGAAACAGAATATCTATCGCTAATCAAATATTGGAAGGTAATGTTCTTACTGTAGTGGCAGTTCTGCAACTACTTAATGTTTTGGAAACCAAATGAACAAAAAAAAAGCAAAGAATCTAAGAAATAGCACCTGCTTGAACACGTTAATCTTCAAGAATTAAACTCAAAATAACAACAGACTGTTGAGCACTGCACCCAGTGTATTTTCCAAAGACATAATGTTGAGTACACTCAAGCAGATAAGGGAATTATGCTTTCAGAAGCATTTCTTTGAGAATATTATCTGGAAAACGTTGAATGCTTAGTGCAAGTGTAGTGTTTTTTAATTTTATGAAGTATATTAGCAAGCTGTGTGTGCTGCTGCTGCCAACATAATGTATACAGTATCTTCTGTCATTACAGATTGGCTCGCAACCAGTTAAAAAAAAGAAAAGCCCCTGTAGTCACGTTAAATTATAGTGTAGTGTAGAGTAGCTATAAACCGTGTGGCTCTAATGATATTCCATCATTGGCTCTAAATTCATTACCCCACCCTAAGCCAAACGCTTTGTAATCCCAAAACCATTGTTTGCTTGCATTTCCAATCACACAGAGACATTTTAATGTAATGACTATGATATACGTTTACTTTGTGAAAGGAGAAAATCCTTTCTGAGTTTTCTGAATAATACTATAAGAATAAAATGAGAGTATTACACACTCATCCTGCTTGCAATTGAAACAGTTATGAATATCTGCATCAAGCATTATTCTGCTTAACTTTGCTGATATAAACATAACTTTCACATCACTGAACCCCTGATTTAAAACAACATGCCATAAAGCTCCAGCGAACACTTAATTATTAGTGATTAATTTGCTGATGATTTTTTAGATTAATTGTTTGGTATTACATTTTAGGAAATTCTGTCGAAGGTCCATCCCAGTTTGTCAAAGTTCATTGTGATCTCTTTAAATATCTTGATTCGTCATTCCAAAACCCAAAGATATCCATTTTAAAATATATTTATTTGACAAATAAACTAATTGTTGAGTCCACTAATGTTTGCAGCGTTAATGCATTTTTAACCCAAGTAGTTCGAAATAGAAAAGCGGTGCCCTCAAAACTGGGAAAGAAAGCACTTTGGATTGGAGTTTGAAGTCAGACAATGATTACCTAATTCACCCATCCAAAAAAGAAATCCAATGACCCATGAGGAAATGTTCTTTGTCTTCTCACCTGCAGTTGGATAGAAGTTATTGAGCCCTCCCCTCTCCGTATGCCCCCTCCAGAGTAATAACAGGGATCTCTTCCTCCACTCAACGCATTCATTTGTGCACCCTCCTTTACTGTGTGGAGAGCTCTCCTGACGGGAGGTGATAATGTCCCGTCTAGTTAAAGACTAGTGCCTTGGATAAAAATGAAAAGGTTATTTGGACTTACGGGTTGCTATAGGGATGTTGATGGGGTTTCATAGTCATTAAGGATGATCATATTGCTCCCTAGCCACCAGCTACTACATAGTTGCCTATGACTCATTTTATTGGTCAATAAATGCCGGTCATTGTGGCTTTTAAAAATGTCTTGTCAAGGAACTCCACAGATACACACCTCTTCTTGGTCCATTAAGAAATAACCTGGCTTCAGTTGAATTGCTCGAATATTATTTGTTCTTCATTATCTTATAATTCAACCATAGCATTATATGAATTTAGCCGCCTTTAAAGGTGGGGTAGGTCATTTTGGAGAAAGCAGCTCGAGTGCGCTAGAATTTGAAAATACACAGCCGGAAAAAATCTGCCACTTCCTTACAGAGCCCCTCCTCCAACACACACGAACGCGCACATGACCAATGAGGGCACGAGATAAGTTTGTGCACTAGGGATGTGCATCTCCATCACTAAGGCTGATGTGATGCACATCTCGATACGTTGCCACCTGAGGTGGGACCAAGTCATTGTTTTGCAAGTCCGAGTCAAGTCTCAAGTCTTTGCGCTCAAGTCCGAGTCAAGTCTCAAGTCAGGATGGGCAAGTTCAAGTCAAGTCCAAGTCCTAAACTTTGACAAAACAAGTCTTAAACAAGTTATGTGCTTTTCAACAAATGTAATGACATCCATCAACAGAATAATACTTAATAATCAAACTGCTCTTTATTAGTCACATTAATAATTTAATAATCTATTTTCTCTCTGCTGGTAAAGTAACGTGTTTTTCTTCTATTTTAAGAGGGATCAGTAAGGTAAGGCTACCGTGACGGTTTGATTCAGAAGGAGTTTAATGTATAAGATCCCTGATGTTGTGGTAACCAGAATGTTTATTTCCACTGTGTACAACATGCAGGCCCGGTTCCAGAACAAAATGACTCAGGGTGCATCCGAGATTAGAGAGGGCGCACCCTTTTGGCCGAGCTTTAGTGAAAAACATAACTAAAGGGTACCCCCTTACCGAGATTTTTTAAGGCTAATTCGGTTACTTATAGTTTTTTTTATATATTTTTTTTACCAAAGGTAGACCACCCCTTCCCGGCATCCATGACATTTTTCGGCCGGCCGATTTATTGACCTACCGATGGACGCGACAGTCCGAAGATAGACGACGTGTTATCCCTACAAGTTCTAAGTGACTAAGTGCTAACCAGTGGCCGTATTTGAAAGTTCTACGCCTCACGTGGCCAAACTTTCCTCACGGTGTAAGCCGATGTCAAACCCAACTGTTGAGCGCCTACGTAGCTATTATTTATATCACCCTACACGTCATGATCATCTCTCTTGTTATATACGTAGAAAAAACAAGTTTAAAACTAAACGAACGGTGGGATATTCCTGTATTTTGTTTTTAGGGAGACAGCATGTGTATAAACTTCATAGTAAATAAAACCGTACACCGTAAGCAACGTAAAACATACACTTTAGCTAATATAACGCGGGGCATAGCGTATTACAACTTACTTTAGCATAGCTTGACATAGCGTTGTCCCCACTTAGCATAGTAAATAGCATAGGACCACAAAGTTTTACATAAGCCATAGCAACCGTGGTCTCCACCACCTGAGCTCAGTGTACCCTGGTGGTTAAAACCATGAACTGTGAGCCTGAACTGTTTTAGTGTTTTTTTGACGCTGAGCCTGAACCCTGACTTGGTGGTTACTGAGCCCTGAACTGGAACTCGGAAGTACTGAACTCCACCTGAACTATTAAATTAAGTCTGCCAGAGTTTGTGGCGGCTAGCGCTCTACGGCGATCTTCTCGTCTGAGGGCAGGGGCCACATCCTCGTCTTAGAGGTCGGCGAGGATAGCAACGACTCTTAGGAACGTTCGTCCCGCACAGAAAATAAATCCGACCCGGTGGTACGCCGGTTAGTATACGTTCCTGCTGTGATCCCTAGTATGGTGAATACACTTTCTTCCACATCGTGTCGTCATCAACCATGTCCGGTCGACGTGTCTCGCTGCCCTCTGCTAAATGTACGTTCGCGCATGCCTAGGTTCTTTAAACGCTTTGGCTTTTTTTTATTCGTCGTAGACCCGACGTAAAGTTACTATAACCTCTTTCGTTTCGACTCACGTCCGTAAAACGATTTGTTACTTGTTATCTGGAAGTCTCGTCCAAAAGAGAAACCCATTGGTGAGGTCCAATAACAGTCTTCCGACCTTCCGTCAAGTCTAGAACCAAACTCATTTCACATGGCTCACATCCTTATGACCCAATGTTATTTTTCAAGGACGTAAGTTTTTTTTTTTACAATGTTCATTTTCACTGTTTTCATATCGTACGTTTTATATGAATTCATTGATGTTGGACGTCTATTAGATCGGTAAGCCCACAAGAAGTGTGGTATCTCTGGTAATAGGGAACGTCAATTTCTATCTAACACCCCAGGGAATATTTACAACAGTCCGGCCCAGATGCACGTATTTCCCATTTTTTCTTTTCAGTTTTCTATAATTTGTATATATTATTATTATTATCATTCATTGATTAATTTTTTTTTTTTTTATTTTTATTTTTTTAACTTTATTATATCTTCTTCTTCTTCTTATATCAACTTTAGCGGTATAAGCGGTCGTCATTGTGACGTAGATGACGTCCATTATTGTCAAGTTTAGGTCTCCATAGTAAATGCAATGGGCGGTCCGGTGACAGCACCTGTGATTGCGGGCTGAGCCGCCGAAACGGGCGGAGAGGGTGCCTCCGCCTCGGTCGGCGTCGGCAGAAGCAACGGGGTTTGTGGCGGTGGGGAGTCGCCGGGCGTTCACGGTCGTGTCTCCCTGTAGCCGTTTTGTCTCGGTCCGCCATATAAATTTTTTTCATGGGTTGAGGCGGACATGTCACCCCATTCCTCGAGCAAAAGTTGTTTTGTCTCTAACCGACCTTTTATAAGTACATGTTTCTACGGTAGAAAGACGATACGTACATCCTGTAAAAGCCAAGTTCATTCAGTCCTACGGAAGTTGGTGTTGACCGATGTTGTTGACCGCGGTACGAGAATATCCGACGTGCACTATTCCCTGACCCTTCCGTACTTAGTTTCGTTTCTCGGTGTATCTAGGTTATCTAGAGAATTAAAACCGGAGAGTTTCACGTGGTCTAAACTACGAAAATTGAAGTTATAAATTTTTTTTTAGAATGGCCCCCTTAACGTACGGGGGTCTCCTCCACTTCGGAGGATCCTCCTCACTCTTGGGGATGATCTCCACAATCCAGGTGAGGGGTGAAATATTTTTATCGNGCATATTGCTAAGGACTAAATACGATGGAGGGTTCTCATCTCAGCCTTATTACCCATAGGGGATGAAGTGGAGTAAGTAAATAAAGAGGCCGGCGCTCCAGGGTCTGGTTCTGCTGTGCGTTTTTGTGATGTAACGGTAAAACATTTCAGAATTCCTCCACGGGATACCATTGTCATTTTACATCACTCAACCCGCGAAATACACACACTCAGTACATAGCCTACTGTAGATAGACCCGCGAATTTGCGGGCCAGGAATTCGCGGGCACAGCCAGCTGTGCGGCTGGCTGACAGCACATGGGCACAGCTTACGTATGTGTGTGTGTGTGTCTGTCTGTGTGTGTGTGAGTGTGTGTGTGTGTTTTGCAGGTTGCTAAATATTTTGTGTGTTTATGTTGACAAGGAGGTTTAATAATTGTGTGCTACACACAACTTGCAGTCGATTTTATTTTCATCGCCGTTTGTAGTAGAGTTAGCAGGGTATTTTTATTTTAACTCTCGTCCCAAATTCGTCCCAAAATTATTTTTTATCCTCCCTGACACTATTTTTTTCGGCCCCGGGACGACGGGACGTCCTTAAACTCGAGCCCTGGTGTGTGTGTGTGTGGTCTCTTGAGTATGGCGTGTGTCTATGCGCAGGTGTCTGTTTTCACCGCCGCAGTGAATCTCCTCCTGGCTAACCAAGCATAGCGTCTAGGGAGGGCTGATCCCACCCCCACCTCTCTTCATCCATCCATCCATCTCCTCCTCCCCCTCACCTCTGCCAAGCTTGGTTTACTGCGCGGCAGAGCGCTCTGGCAGGCAGACCTCTCCAGGATGTGACCTCATAAAAGGGCGCAGAGTGAATGTAATGAACTCTCAGCCCATTACACTGATCTGAGCACATTTGACATGTCTTCAGGGAGCAGAAGATAGGCCCGCAGTCAGAGAGAGAGAGGGCGGCGGAGGGGATGGAGAGGAGGGCGTGGAGGGGTGGTGATGGGGAAAACGGTAAACCATTTCCATAATTGTGCTGAATTTGATCCCTCTTCCACAACTGGCCTCAGGTCTTAGCGGTGTGTGTGTGTGCAGGAAGAAATGCAGCAATGAAAGGGAATAGGAGTTGGATTTAATTAAGGTTAATAGGATAGACCATAATTGGATGTTGTTGTGTACCGCTACACAACCTTTTGTTCTTCCCTCTGCAGGGTAGCTTTAGCTGACGTAGTGTGTTCTATAGGTGAAGTTTTTCTGAGGGGCATCCAGGAGACATTGTGATTAGACAACATGTTTAATGCTTTAGCTTATTCTAATCTTTAAATGTTCCTGGGTTTTCTCTGTAGTACTAAACTTTGCCAAATAATGTTTCACAGTGCTCTTTCTCCACTACTTCATTTCACCTGACAGTCACTATCGGAAAATACCAAGAAGTGTTTGATGTTTAGATCTTTCTATCAAGTTGGGTTTTATACAAAAGCAAAGTGTCTAAGAGCGTACAAGTCCACCAGGAGAGCAGCTGGTGTGTCTGTTTACAGTGTAGAAGTCATTCAATAATATTTGTATTATAATTTAATTTCATGCTGCACATAGTGCGAGTCATTTCATCACAACAGCAGGACATAGTTAAGAGTAGTTGGAGGTTTGCTGCCTCCAACAGCTCCTGCTGTTTCCATTACCCCATTGCAAAAATTGCTTGGAAATGATGATTTATTGTAGATGCACAAAATAGAACTCTCACATGGTAAACAGAAAACATTGAGGCTGTATTGTTAGCTTCTGCTTATTGTGTTGGACACTGATAGAGGGGTGTTTACAACATTTACATACCTTGAATGTATCAGTTATAATGCTGGCCGTAAATAGCATCAAAAATGTGGTTTGATTTCCTGAAAGTCTTAAGGAATATAGATCCGTCTCTTGCGACTCTTTTCTTGCTGTTGTCTCCGCCATTTTCCCATCCTGGAAGCTGTTCCTTGGTCCAGCTGCAGGACCAATACCTGGGGACAGAGGCCATCCAGTGTAGTAATGACCAATGGAAAGGCAGCGCAGAGAGGGACGTTAACTAATGCTCTCTCACTCACCCAGCCACACAGCCCGTCTGTTGGTAAAACCATTCATACATCTTTACTCATTGAAATGTATGATGCAGAGAAAGAGAATGTCTGCATAACAAGCAGAGCCGCTGTGTGTGTGTCTTCATATGATCTCTCAAGTTGATATGACATGGTTTCTGTGCTCATATGTATGCATTATGCATGCTTGTATCTGCATTCTGTGATGGGTGTAGGTCTGTTCTATAAGCAGACTGATGAGCTCGCTGTGTGGCTCTCGTATGTCAGTGCAGTCAAGTGTGTTTGCCGAGGAGGGACCCTGTTTATAAGCCCCTGTTTATGGGCTCTGAGAGGCCACCGCTTGCCAATAATTGGCGTCTGGATTGCTCTGTAAGCATTTGGCGAGTCAGCCGGGACTGGCTGGGTCCAGCGCTGCTCTGGAAAGGTCAGCGCTGAATCTGCCCGAGATGGCAGAGTGACGGGGAAAGAAACGCACACAGGAGGAAAAGAAGAAGGGAAGGATGATCAAGAAAATAATTAGATAGTTGCAAGTGTAAAAATGGGATGAAAAAATGTATAAATTAGAAAGGCAATGAGGGATGGTATGATTTCAAGACCAGAACGTATGGAAAGGGCAAAAATAATGATTAATGATAGAAAGGAATTAGGGACAAGATAAAAGGAGGATAGAAGATAAAAAGGAACAGAGGGAGATGAAGAAGGAAATGTTAGTAAAAGAGGAGACAAAAGCTAAACATAACCTCCTTTGCTGGGGTAATGGGAAAATAGACTTACAGGAGTTAAAGGATACAAGGTGAAGGAAAGCAGATGGTTGGTAGATGTGTCGGGTACATTGTATTTATACAGCCTGAGAGCCAATCTATTAGCAAACCCTTATATCCATATAGCTAATTTGCCTCAAGAGGCTTTATATCTGTACAGCATTCAACACTCTGACCCTCAATCGGGTAAGGAAAATGTCTCGTCTTGTGAGGCATTCTGGAAGATGTCCTCACGCTGACTAACATTGTGTTTCTTCTCCTTCCCACCCCTTTCTTTCTGACTAGTTATCCTGAGTCCTTTCGGCCTGAACGGGACCCTGACGGGCCAGTCGTTCAAGATGTCAGACCCGCCCACCCAGAAGCTGATCGAGGAGTGGAACCAGTTCTATCCCATCAGCCCCAGCGCCAAGGGGGGGTCGTCGTCGGATAAGGCGGAGGACATGGACTGGGAGGATGACTCTCTGGCCTCCGTAGAGGTCCTCGTAGGTCAGTTGTGAGGATACTGTGACGTGTTTTTAAATGTCGGTGTCACTGCTCTGGTTGCTGAACACCCTGCCTTTCTGTGTGCAGGTGGTGTGCGAATGGTTTACCCAGCATGCTTAGTGCTGGTTCCCCAGTCAGACATCCCTGTTGTGGCCCCTGTGGGGTCCTCCCACTGCACTGCCGTCTACCCGGGTGGCCACCAGGTGCCTGCTTCCCAGCGAGAGCCCGCCATGTCTTTGGTGACCCTCACCCCTCCCACATCGCCTGAGGAGGCTCAGACAGGTTGGGCGATAAACGCAGTGTACATTTTTAAGACCTCAGTTAGGTCTTAGGATGACGATTGCTTTTACATTATTTTTTCGTCACATCTGTTTAACCTTGCTCCTTCCCTCCCCAGTGGACTCTCACTCAGCCCAGAAGTGGGTTAAGATGCCTTCAGCATCTGATGCGTTCAGCGTGGACAAAACAAGTCACCACGGAGGAAAGATTCCACGCCGGTTATCCACCCAGGTGGTGGAGCGCGTCTGGCAAGAGTGCAATATCAACCGAGCCCAGAACAAGTACGTCTCATTTTGTCTCTTAGAAGTAGCAAAGATTGGTAAGCAATTCTAGAAAGAGAAATCTAACCCAAAAACTCAGAGTGCTTTAACAGAGAACAGTTTTTTTTGTACCTCATGTTTGTTTACAGACCATAAACACATTTAGCTATTGTTAACAATCCATTTTTGTGCAGAGATGAAGGCATTGTCCAATGGTCCAATCTTTTTTGCCAAAAGGTTTAATATTTAACTGCTCATTTAGCAAGAAATAGTCCGTGACAGTACTTTTTTTTCTCACAAGTGCTTAGTGTAACAAGCTGAGCAAAGAAGAGTGAGGTCATGCAGACTGTTTAAGCACACTTGGAATGTGTGAAACAATAAAATTAAAGCAATGCCTGGTTAATTTTTCTAAATGCACTTTAAATTAGCGGTTTTCTGCCTTGGCGTGGAGCAGGTCAAACTTCTTTCACTGACCCTTGTGCCTGATGAAAAGGTTAATATGCATTTCCATGACCTTCTGACTGCACATCTGTAGTTTACACACTACACTGACACAGTTTTCCATAACGTTTTATGAATCATACTTACACTATACAAAAATACCAGAAAAATAGAGTAAAAACAATAAAAACTTATAATTAATCTAAGGGCTAGTTTGCAGTTTAGTCACATGGCCTGCTGTGTTATTCACCATCAGTGAATCTGACACATTGGGAGCAGCCCGGGCTCTGCTGCCCCTTGACCACGCACAGAGTGTCAGCCAGAGTTAGCTGTTGGGCTTGTCAGCCAAAATATTTTCGCTCCAAGCAGAGCGATGACATCAGCCGACGCACAAAGCTCTCACCATGCCACACTGTGTACCGCAGGCTGTGCACTTTTTTAAGATTTTAAGTCACAATTGAAAGATTTTTGTTTAAAAAGAAAAGGATGGTTCACAATAAAATCACTACACGAGAAAGAGCTGAGTTTCCCACAAAAAATGTACCATTAGCAGAATTGTGTTATAGACATGTATTTTTTCTCCCTCCCAAGGCGGAAGTTCTCAGCCGCAACCAACGGTACCTGTGACGAAGAGCTGAGTGAGAAAGCGGCAGCCTGGGATTTTGTGGAGCATTCACAAAGGTCCTACTGCAGCTGTTCCAGGTTAGTGCTCAGTCTTCAGCTTAACATCTCTCTCAACCGATCACAGTTGAAAGCAGCTGCTTTACTCACATGTGTACATCAGGGTTTCCGTTAGCCGGTAATTAACGTTTTTTAGCTGGTAACATTTATTAAAAACCGGTAAATTCAAAACCTGCAGGTCAAAATGTCCGATGCTCCGATCGATTGGCCGCCGGTCATTATCGGCCGATATTCACTCTTAATAGTTTGATCTGTGCTCTCTATAAAGGCCGATCAGGAGAGCTGGATCTGATCGATATGGACATAAACGCGAGTGAAGTATAACCGGACGCGAGAGAGAGATCAGATCAGCTGCTGAGTCTGACGGAGACACGCAGCTCTGCATGATCACCTGAAGCCCCGCCCACTGTTTAGCGCGCTGCATGAGAAACTGACGGGCTGTCAGGAGAGGGAGAGAGGAAAAGAGAGGATCCGTTTCTCCCGTGTTATTATTCAAAGTTAATGTAAACTTTTGAATAATGTACTTTATCTACTACAAGTAGTTTGTTTGAATGTAATAATTATGTTGTTTGTTGTTTGTGGAATCATTTATTGAAAAATGAATCAGAATTTTTCGATCTGTTACGATTATAAACTGAAGCAATATAAAAACGAGCCCCAGTAACTGAGTTTTAAACATCAGCATATCCGGTCCTAGTCCGGTAATTACCTGCTAACGGAAACTCTGCTACACAATTCTTATTATTATTATTATTGAAACATGACCAGTACGTTTCAAATGTGTCCGGTAAAATAAATTCTGTCCGGACATTTGACCGGCGAGAAGAAATCCTAGCGGAAACCCTGGTGTACATGCGTGTGCCATCCTCTGAAGACTGCAGGTCCCATCAGTAGACGATGGCCAATGAGCAAGTAGCATGAGTAGTAGTATCTAAGCTGACCTTTGTGTGTTTTGATTGGTTGATACCTTGCTTGCCAGCGTGGTCACACTTCCATCGGGGAATCCGTTACACTCGGCTTTTCTCCCACCTAGAGAGAGGAGAGTCGGCTTGGGCGGCAGACGAGCAGAGAGGATTGACCCAGTCAGCCGGGGCATGTTCATTTGTTGGAAGCCACCCAGCACTTTGGCAACACAGATATGGGAAGCTCTGTGCGTTGCCAGGTTTAATGGTCATTAGCCTTGATCTGTAGATGGAAGCCTTCCGTGTGTCTGCTTATCTCCACATCTTAATTGTCAGCACACACCAGTGCACTGGCCATCAGCGAGACCCAGCTTCTCCTTTAACACTCAGATGTTTGACCGCAGCAGTAGGCTGAGTGGTGACCCAGCGGCAGAGACAGTTGTATTAGAAGGTTGTCTGTTGGCAGCAGGTTGTCCACATCCATGGGTCTACAGTCAGATTCCAGCCTTATTTCCTCTCATCATCCAAAGGCAGTAGCTGATGTAGTTTTTTTTTAATGGACTATTTATCACATCTGATACGTCTGTCGTTTTGAACACTGACTGAGGTGATTTATTGTAACTTTAAAGTGAGTCACAGTAACTCTCCTCCTTTTTCTCCTCTATGTGAGTGACTCAGCGCTGCTGTAGCAGACTGTCCTACCTGTTTGCCCATTTTTGTTGGATCAATACACAAATCTATGATTAGAGAGTCTTGTAAACATTTGATAACTAATCTCCTGCTGAAGTGGCGCTGCAGCACTACTGCGTGTTTAAGCCACATCCATCAGAATTCAGTCTGAGGCAAAGACACAAAAACTACTTTTATTCAATTTCTCATTATATTTGGCTTTTAACGCACTTCATACTATATTCCTTTGTCATGCATTATCTGATGAGCTTTATTTGATAGCAGAATAGGCAATAGAGCTAAGATTCAGTTATTATTCCTTTTTCTACTGTCAGCATGATTTTCTTTTCCTTCCTTCTTTATGTTTTCTAAAATAAAAATGTCTTCTCCCCTGCAGATACAAATCAATGAAGCAGCGAACAGGCAGTACCCCAGGCCAAACACCTACATCGGGCCAGCCCTCCCAGACTCCCACCAAGCACAAAGCTGGGGGGGAGAAACCAGAGAAAGGTGACAAGCAGCAGAAAAGACCCCAGACGCCCTTCCATCATCGCAGCATGACCAGCGACGACGCTTCCATGGAGGCTGAGGCCACCGCCGGTCAGAGGATAGCCATGAGAGGCCAGGACGGAGGGAGATTCAATAGTATGCGCTCTACGGATGTGTCTGGCATCCAAAAAAACACCCAGCTCCATTGTGGGGGGGTCAACGTAGGGCAGTCAGAACAGTCCAACTCCCCGCAACCCCCGCCTCTTAGCCCCCACCCCTGCGAGCATGGCGAGGAATCAGGGGAGGGCATGAAGAACCCTTCAACCCCCAACAGCCAACACTTTTACCAGCCTCCGTCGGAACCCTGCCTCGGCGGGGGGAAGGGCGGCGGTGAGGATCCCGGAGGGCCCGAGGGTCTAAATCAGCACTTCCACTCCCATCACCCCCACCACGGAGCCTCGAACTACTCCGACCCCCCTGAGCCCACCATGTATTTGGGCGCAGGGGTCGACCCGGAGGAGGACAGCTCCCTCGCACCATGGAGGCTATTCAACCTCCCCCGCACGAAAGAAGCCGAGCTGCCCACGCCACTACTGCCCTGGGACAAACTGAGGGAGGAGGCCGCGGCACAGGAAAACCTGGTGTCAGTCACAGAGTAAGTGACACCTGCCAATCATTAAATGATGTTCATCGCCCTCTGTCACACGCAGGGCAGTTAGGTAGTGTTCATGTTAGCAGCAATTATCCTGCACTTAGGTATTATCTTACTAAAAGGAAGCCCTAAGGATTTTATAGTTTAATAAATGGAAAACTTTATTCTTTTCAAGATTTGTATTTTTTTAGATTAACAACACGGGATGAATAATTAAAAATATTGTTTTTTACTAGTCCTCACAACTTCTCATTAGTGATGAGCACCGAGTGTCAGTTGTAAACAATAGGCCTGTTATAAGAGTCAATCCACTGCAGCCAACATGGACAAATAGTCAACCAACCAAACCCACTTGAACCAGTGTCAATGGCGCTAGCAGAGAAAGAAAAAGTTGAATGTGGTTAAGTTAAAGGTTTAAACAATATGTAAGACAAATCAGATCAATATTCCATGCTAACATCATCACAGTTGGCTCTTATCGACTTATGTGTTGTTGTCTCGTCAAAGTCAGTAATTATAAAGGTTGAGGATGAGCATATTTCCTCATCGTTATTGTCAACAAAATGTGTGCTTCTCTTGGGCATCCGAACCCTACATTTCTAACCTTTTCCACTGTTGCATAGTGCTGCTTTAGAGCAGTTTAAACAGTCCAGAAAATTGTGTCCCTCCCTCAGCTTCAGAACGTGCAGTATAGCGCTTAGCCGCGTACAGCATGTTAATCTCCTGCTATGTGCCCTTTTGACATCATACATCACCAATGTGCAGGGCCAGCACTACTCATCCATTCGTATGCGCGCGCACACACACACACACACACACACACACACACACACACACACACACACACACACACACACACACACTGGAGCTCGGAGAAGGGAAGAGTTATGGCAGGGTTGGATTAAGATATTCCTCTACTTTTGTAATAAAGTTGAAAATGTAAGAAATACTGCCTCAGCTGGCTATCGGTTTGGAAGCCTAGAGAGAGACTTGCACCAAGAAGAAGCTGCTAGCCAGGCGGAGGATCACAGATGGACAGAGCGAGGGGGCTTCTACAGTGTGAAGCAGGCCGTAGGGTGGACCTTGTGGGAATTATTGGCGGGGTTATGCAATCCCAAGGGGCCAGCGCTCAGAATGGCTATTCTAGTGAGCCGTAATCCCCCCGGCCACAGCTCTGAATGGCGGCTAATCTCTGGCCCTGGCCACTGCACACCATCACCTCACATCGGAGCCGGACAGGCATGACGAGAGGACGGAGGTGCAGAGAAACATAGCCGGCAATGAAGGGGAGGGATAACACTTGGGTCAGCCCCTCCTCTCCTGCCCAGCAGCCAGTAGTTTTCTTCTGCTCCCTCCTGTTACATGCAAGGAACAAGTAGGCCACCGTCAGAGCCACATTTTGATAGAGTCACAGTAACAAGTGATAAATGTGTGTG